TACATTGGTAATTGATGCAAATGGAAGCAATTTTAGGTTGTGTATTTTATTTTATTGTCCAATGTCTTACAGGAATCAGCATTTACTTGTAAGCCCAACATTCTAAGAATATTTTATTAGCTCTCCTTATTACATTGCTTTACAATTGAGTTTATAAATGAAAAAAAGCATGAATTTACGAAGGATAAGAGTTATTTACAAAAAAGTTATAATATATTACTTGGTTGCCTGTTAATAAAATATAAAAAAATGGATTTTTAAAATACTTTATTATATCTTACAGCAATCAGGCTCACAATTTTTATATACACATTTATTATTCCGTATTTACATGCATAATTGTTTTTGAGACTGTCGTAGGATCAAGCAACATTTTTCGCCTATGATCAACCGGGATTTCGCATAATAAAAAATACAATTCTAATTAATATAAGACCAAAATTAGGTAACAGCAGCTTTTTTATCTACGGGTGTAACTGTGATCTGGACGTTTGTGAGCATATGTGCATGTGCAGAGAAAATATTTAGAGGCTATTGACAAATATTAACGTGGGCTTATATAAAGATATTGTATTTTCCTATCTATGAATAGCAAAATATGATATAATCTTTATATAATTCGCTAACTCGAGATTCATCTCATACATAAAATTACAATTTATGAAAATTCATTTAGATAAACATAGAGCTCCAAAGGCATATGTGATTCAACCTCCTTTTTAGTTTTGTCAAATCGTACTGGATTTTGAAACAGTAGTGGCCGTTAAATGATTGCATCCACTTTTAACACTTCCAACCTCATACAAAGCCAGGCAGTGAGAAGGATAACTGAACGATCATGTTACTGCTCATCAATCTGTGTTTCCAGCAACAGCGTTGGTGATTTGATTTGGTCTGGATTATTTACTGTTGAACAGCATGAGTCCTGAAGACTTTCAAACATCATATCATCTAAAATAATGGATGCTTTTCTTTCAGTGTTCATTGCATTTGAGGCTTTCGTTGAACTTGCAGCAGCTAATCTATTTAACCTAGGTTTTCTTCCACAAGTCAGCCTAATGCATTTATTTTGCAATTTAAAGTTCTTTTTAATTCTTTCTTGTTTGCTACTTTGACCCTTTGATCTATTGTTACCGGCTGACTGGAATTCCCATTTACGAAGTTCCATTTCAACATTTGGCCGATTTGCCTCCATACTGCTATATTCAGGCTCTTTGAAATAAGATTTTGCTTTTCCATGTCGAGGTGCTGATGAGCCCCGAGTTATTATAGTCTGTTCTCGATCAGTTAGTTGACTGGCCAACTCCCACCAGCGCAGACAAAGCAGGCCGGCGAAAGCGCGCCGGAAATTATCAGAAAGGAAGGCATAGAGGACTGGATTCATGCTGCTGTTGGCATATGCGAGAAAGTTGCTTATGACCTGAAATGGTGTTGCAATGTCTGTGTAGCGTCGCATGATTTCTGTATGAAATTGAAGCATAAATATCACTTGAATTGGCAGCCAGCAGACACCGAAAACACAAACCACTACCACTACCATGCGTGTGACACGCTTTTTTGAGCGTTGTGCTTCTGAAGACTGAGCCATTCGAGCAGTCCTTCCGCAAAGCAGCCGGTTAACGAGGAGACCATAAAGCACACTTATCACGCCGAAGGGTACTAGATAGCCGAATATGAAGAAGAGGTCGTTGAAGAGACTAGGTTGATCCAGGTACGTGATGATGCACAATCGCTGATGACACGGTAGGCTATTAGTCTTCTCATCGGAAATCAGGGAAATATTTGACTCCTGTAGAATGGGTAGGCAAGCCAAGATCAAAATCAGCCAAGTGCTCGAAACCGCAATCAAGGTGTTGCGCGTGGTTCGGATGCTCAGGCTCTCAATTGGATGCACAACGGCCAGGTACCGGTCCAAACTCATCAGCACTAGTGTATATACACTGAGAAAGGCTGTGAGGAAAGTGAGATATGTGTAGACTTTGCATACCCAGGTGCCTAAGAGAAAGGAGCCATTCACATAAATTGAGCCAGTTAAGGGCACACAGAAAAGGATGAAGGCAAAATCGGCGACGGCCAGGAAAAATATAAGTAGCGTTGTCGTGTTTCGCATCTGTTTGTTTATCATAATGACGATCATTACCAAGATGTTACCCACAAATCCTATCACAACTATTAGGCTGAAAAGGATGGGCACAATGATTCCTAACAGACCATGCTCTGAGCAAAGCGGGCGGGAGGCGATCATCTCATTGGTTTGACTGCCTTTGCGAAGTGAGGCTGGTGAGTGTTTCAAAGGGAATGTTACATTAGCCAGCAACCCGGAGGGTAGCAATGATGAATGTTCTGCCTTCTGATTCATTATGGAAGGGATGGTAGCGTTTTCTTGATGCAATAAAAATGCCGACGTTTTCGTTTCGTACGCAAATGTTGAGTCTGCCGCAGTGAACTCATTAGAAATAGTGAGATAGCCAATACTGGCCAGCACCAAACATGGGCCACAGGCCGCCAGGAATATGGAGGCTATAAAGCGTTTAACCAAGCGCCACATTTGAAATAATGTACTCGATTGTGAAAAGCGTCTTCTTGGCATAAACACCTCTAATTAACTGGCTTCCTGTAAATTAGAAAAAAATGACTGAACAATATGTGAGATTTAGCTATAAGCTAAGGACTATACACACCTTTAATAAATATATGCGAGTCATCCTGCCAAAAAAAGTGAGAATTAATTATTTCTAAATCAAATGATATAAATTTAAATAAGCGAATAGAATAAAATTTTAATAAGAAGTTCTATTACATCATGCGCGTAAGCTCAGTGATGTGATATAACATTATCAGGAAGTTTGTTCATACAAAACCTGTTTTAGATTTCTCATAAACTTAATATTAAGGTGCAAAAGAATTCAACAAAGTCATTATCTTTCCTTAAATATCCAACAACTGTATGCCTTCCATGGCACCATAGCAATAGACGAATGAACGCCATAAATATGCATGATAGTATAGCCTCTTAATTTAGTGCTCTCAAGTCTCGTGCTAATATCCAGTGGAATAGTAACTCGTTTTGGCTGATGGCGTTTAGTATATTGCTAATAAATAAACTACAGTAAATTTAAACGCATAATTATGAGAGCTAATCTTTCTACCATATTTTAAGTACTATACGTCTGCTTTGTATTCGTGGAACTTGGCTTGATACACATATAGCGAACAATATTCTAGGCATAAAGCTATAATTACCTTCTGAGAGGCGCATTTATAGACAGAGAATATTCATTATAATAGAAAAAAGATAAATCATTTTGCTGGAAAGACGACATCTTATAAAGTCTGAACCTAAGTAGAAACTAAAGCTAAAAATTAAAATATCAAATTTAGGACAGCCTTTACTCAAGGAAAATCAGATAAAATAGAGTGCAATGCTTATGCATAATCAGGATTCCTATAAAATTATTACAGACCTACACCATTATTGTTGGGAATATCTCAATGCTATCCCAGAAGCGAACCGGAAGCACTTAAATATATTCACTTATTGTGGATACATTTTTGGTTTCATTCTAGATTAAATCTCTATGCTTATTATAGAGGAGTTCTTTTAGACTGGTAATATTTTGTCTGATGAATAATAAAAAAATAATTAACTTATCAACTGAGTCCTGGTCTTCTCAAATCATTTTTGTGTTAGCTTTAGAGACAGCTTGTCCTGATATATTCATAAATATTTATTTACTAAGAGTGTGAACTTTTTATTTTTCGTAGATAAGAAGAGTTTCGAGGCTACCAGTATAATCTTTTTAGCTATTTCGTTTTCTTTGTATAATTATTCGGTTGTGATTATTTAAATTTGATCCAAAAAGCTAGTCTCAAAGAATATTATATTTACCTCACATTTTATATAGCAAGCCAATTTATATTATAATATTTCTTTATTTTAAGATTAAATAATATATTATTGGAATAAAATTGGGAATATATATTAATTTTATAAATGTCCCGCTTGCTAAATTCTGTTATTTTTAATACCAAACCATTTTTTAAATGTAGGTAAAACTAGAAATTTCAATGAGACATTGTATCATAATTGCCAAAGTAATAGATATGAAATACTGACGAAATAAAAACACTGTTAAGTCAAAATCCGGAGTTGGTAAGTGTTTCTGGCTCGTATACATCCCGCACTAATTCATAATTGTGAGGTGTAATTCACGAGTTTAAGGATTAATGCTAGCTATTTGATTTGGAATCACATCAGAATAGTATTATAAAACAATGCATTTTCTAATTACCGACCTTTGGATAAGGAATTCTTTACGGTGCTTGTCATTACCTATCTTACTATAAAATAATAGATATGGTATACTATGTCAAAATAATTTTGATGTGATTATTAGTAAATAGTATTCATTTTAAAAGCAGTATGTAAATTTTTCCATTTTAACTCACTACACTACCTTAAGGATCATCATGCAATTATCGTTAATACTGTGAAAATAATCATAAATGGTGCAATTTTCTGTCTACAGCTCTCTTTCAATCTCGTGAGTGTATATTATAGTAAACCACCAGATAATAGCAAAATGATTGGCAAATGCCTTAGGAATTATTGTCTGGCATATAAATTATCTGACATAATCCCAAAATATTATTCAAAATTTGTTATAATAAGCTCACTTGTATTAATTATAGAAAATTTACTACTTACTCTGATCATTGTGCAGTTTTCAGTAGTGTAGCCGAAAATGTCTTCAATTCATATTACCATTTACTTCAAAAGGATACTGTACATGGGAATTTAAAATTATACATTAAAAATAAAAAGAAATAAATAAAATTATTTTAAGCAGATTTTGTTTTAGTTAACAGAAAATAATATTCAAGTTGTTCGGAAAATACAATGAAACGAAGTGCAGTAAATATGCATTTGAGCTTGAAGTATTTGTTGGTTGAATTGCTTGTGTA